TATTTGTGCCTTTGTTCATGATTGCTTTGTGTGTGTATTGCCTAATAGTTGTTTCCGTACACAAAGCCTGAGTGAGATGTTTCTCACTCTCCTATTTGTTTGTGTATGTTTAAAATTATATTGCAGGTGATTATTAGTATGAGGATGTTGGTGATAAATTTTATGCTTCGATATTTCTCACTCTCCTATTTGTTTGTGTATGTTTAAAATTATATTGCAGGTGATTATTAGTATGAGGATGTTGGTGATAAATTTTATGCTTCGATATTGGGCATGCTCTGATAGGACATGTGACATCGGGGCATAGATAGGACTAACTTAGAACATTATTTTCTTTAACTCCTTTTGAAAAACTCTTAGCTTTACCTTTTTTGTAACTTCCGCATATGAACTATGATTATGTTTACGAATGTCAATCCTTTACCTTTATGTTATCAAGATGTTATTTAATGCTGAAAAATCTTTATTTACTCAAAATTTATTCTACATTGATGTGTGAGGTAGAGGGTATCACAGATTAAAATAAAGAAAAATATTTTATGAGATCATAATTAAATTCACACATTTTACAAGAGGCAAAAATATATTATAAAGACTAAAAATAATGTTTACTAATTTTAGAAAAATAAAAATAAAGAAAAAATTTTCAAAAATCAAAATTGAAACTCACTTATTTTATAGAGACTAAAAATATATATAAATTAATTTTATTAAAAAATAAAATAAAAAACAAAGTTTTATAAATTTTAAAAAATAAAAATTTAAAAACGAAAATTGAAACTCACTTATTTTATAAACACTAGAAATATATGAAAATTTAATTATTTATTATTTACACGTAAATTCGTGTATAACACGGATACATTTACTAGTTATTTTAAATTCATCGGTGTGAGTATGTAAGGGGTGAGTTAAGTTATCCTTATCAATTTACAGATTAAACATGTGATTATCTTACCTATCACTGATTCATTAACTATGGTAATTCTTGTTCTAAAGTATAAGATAATAATGTTAAATGCACCCTTTTTCTTTGGCGTGTAAGTTTAGGAGTTCAAATATGTGAGATGATTTGTCAAGAGGCTTCAGTATATGACCAAGCTTAAACGTTTTAAGAATCAAAGTTTTTCCAACTAAAACTGTCATACTTTATAATTAAAGTTTTTTTAACTAACTTTTTACTTTTTTAAAAAGTCTAGTAATCTTGCTAAACTGGCCTATTTAAAATATAAACTAATATTATATATTAATTTATAATTAATATTTATATTTAATATATAATTATTAATAATAATTTATTTAATAATTGGACCTATTTCACTACTTAACCTATTTATAAGTCTTAAATACACGTAAATAGGCTTTCAGGCGAGGTCTTATAAAAGACATGCGATAGGGAAACATGTTATACTCTAGCTAAAGGGTATAGTTCATACTCAGACCCGTAAAGTCTTGATTAATATTATCCATGTGGGGATACTAAATTTTATGAATTAATATTAATAAATGATTATAAAATTATACTTGTTATTAGAAAAATAATTGTAACGTAGTAAGTTAATTGTTTAGAGTTTAGTTAATTTTAGTGAGGAGTGTATATATAAGGTTTTCTTTGAGAACAAAACCTCATAAGCTCATTCTCAAAGAAAATCTAGAGAGAAATTTTAGAGAGAAAGACTCTAGGTCTGTGAGTTCCTTTTTCTCCTAAAATTTTCTACTTGATTCCTTTTCTCTTCTAGATCACTAATCTCTTCAGTCTTTTATTTGAATTTATGCTAAAAAGCTTGATTTTGGTGGATTGAAGTCTGCGGGTTGACTGTTCAAGAATTTTTCTTCTTCTTCCTTTTCTTTGTTGTTCAGAGCCAATTTTCAAGTAAGGGAAGTTAGGATTGTGGCAGATTGGTTGCATGTGAGTTTAGAAACCCAATTGATCCATGAATTGGAGGTTGATTTGTTGATTTGAGGGATTTTCCCATTTGGGGTTTTCAGGCTAAAGCAGAATTTTGGCTGATTTGGTGCATCAGATGAGTGCATGTTGTTTCTAGAACTTGAATTGAACTATTTTTGGTGCATGGATGTTATCTCTTCCATTGCATGTGGGTTTTTTTTTCTATTTTTTCTGAGTTTCAGGTGTGGAGGTCCAAAAATGGTGAAGAACATGGTGCCCCTGTCATCAAACGACTGAGCTATTTTAAAGGGCTGAGCCCTTTGGGAGCTGCATGACAGAGGGGGATTTCTGTAACCAAAGGGCTGAGCCATTTTAAAGGCTGAGTACTTTTGAAATGGCTGAGCCATTTTATAAGGCTGAGCCCTTTGGGGGCTGCATTACAAGGAAGAATCCCTGGAAGCAAAGCGCTAAGCGCTTTGGAAGGCGTTGAAGGGTTTGATTATTTTCGAATTAGACTTTTATATCTTTATAAAAGTTGTAGCCTTAGATGTTAGCTTTCCAATGGCTTTGGAATCACCTTAAAAGGGGGTTTAGAACTCTAGTTATGACTGTTTTAGTGAACAGGGGTAAAGTTGTCAACATTGTTTATATCTGTTGCGGGTTTTGACATTTCTAACCAAGTAGATGATTTATTTAGAATTTCATGTTTTCATAAGAGTTGTAGATTATCCTCTTATATTTCTTTTAAGATAGGTTTGAGATTATTTGGATGAGTATAACTCTCTGGGTGTTGTTTTCTTTGACAATTGTCAAAGGAAGATGAATGTTATTTTGATGTTCTAAGTGTTATCATGTGGATTAAAAAAATTGGTCTGATACTATGCAGAATAGTGGTTCATATATGTATGATATATGATGTAAATTGGTGCTTAGTATATATGTATGCTTGGTAATGATATATATGAATGTTTAAACATGATATGATATCTATGTATGTTTATATGAGGATGATATTGATCATGATGGTGGATTGACCATGTATGATGTATGATGTATGATGCATTGTTGCATGTGATGACTTATGGTATGTGTCTAGCCTAGGACTTGAGCAGAGGGAAAATATTTTCGAACTAGAAGAGCTCACATAGAGTTTCTTGAGAGTGGTACTTGGATAGGCCATTGGTTTGGATGAAAGTGGTGCTTGAATAGGCCACTGGTTTTGGGTGAAAGTGGTGCTTGGATAGGTCACTGGTTTAGGTGAGTCTCCTCTAAGTCCTTAGCTAGTGTTGTAGCAGAGTATGAGATCAAGCATTATTCCTTTAACCAAGTATTGGGGAAGGTACATGGTTCCTTGCGAATAGCCTGTGGACGAATTCCACAAGTGACTTGGTAATGCATGCCAAGGTCATGGTAAGCCTATACCCAACTATGCTATACCTGACGATGGAACCGGACTTCCAAGTGTGTAAGAGACATCAACCGAGTAAACCCAAGTGGAGATTAATATCCTAGTTTGCTATGACCGAGCATGCGCATTGGGCATGAAAACGGTTGTGGTGGTTTCGATAGGTTGAGATGTCACTTATACTGCTCTGTTGTTAGGGAGATCTCCTAGGTGAATGCGTGACGACGCATTACATGATTGATATGCATTGATATCTGTATGAGTTGCATTTACTGCATGAGTAGTGTATAATAGTGTATGGTGTGACTCTATGAGAGTAATTGGTGATTTGATGATGGTGTAGCATAGATACTTATTCTTCTGCTTACATGATTGATTATTGAACTCTAGCTAACCCTTTTGTTTTCATGTGGATGGATTACGATGATCATACTGTGTATGTGAGTAGGTTAAGATTAGGTCGTAGTTGGTTGCTGTGACCGCTGCAGGATGTGGAGTTTTGTCTTAGTGTCAAAGTTATCATCTTAGGTAACTATTTGATTGTACTTGACTGACACTAGGAGAGTATTATTATTTTGGATGACTATATATATATAGTATTATATTTTGTACATAGAAACGTAAGTTATTGTTACTTTTATATATGTATGTATTTGATTATCCATATTAATATCTTTTCTTAGTTCACTAATGTAATTAGTGCGATTTCACTAAGCGTAGGAACTACAGCGAGTTGTTACAATAATCAATTTATTTATACCTATGCAACCTACAAAACTTTCTAAATGTCAAAAGAATGACAACTTTAATTAAAAAAATTTAAATTTAACCTTTTTAATAATAAGGTCAAATAAGAATAGACTCCATATTCCTAACTTTTTTATTAAAAAGACTAAACTTAAATGTTTTAGAAAGTTTCTTTAATTAAAAAAAAAAACACTTTATGCTTTTAAAAATTTTTAGTAAGTCGAATAATTAAGTCAACCTATTTAAAATATAAATTGATATTATTTATTACATATATTATCATTTAATTTATAATTAATATATATTTATATTCAACATATAATTATTAGTAATTTTATAATCAATGAAATGTAATATAATTTTTCTTGTTTTCTATAAATAATTTTATGTTTTCTTTTATATTGTCTTTTATTTTTATTTTGTAATAAATACAACGTCAATGTATAATTTAATTAAACAGTTTGTGTAACGTAAAATTACAATTAAAAAACTTTTACTAATTAATGTTTTTAATTACTAAAAGTTTAGTAATTTTTTTTAAGAGGTGAAATTTAGGCTGGTTAAAACTTGGTTCAGGGTGTGTTTCCACCAAAAACAAGAAGGGAGAAGAGAGAGAAACATATCAATAATAATTTAGAAGTTTGTTGGGCATGCTATAAATAATTAATGATGAGAATGAATTCTGGGATTTTCACTTTAAATATTTTTCCTTTTAAAATTCCCATCATTAAAATTTTACACTTTTTTTATTATTGTTTATATTTTTTTCTTATTTTTATTTAAGAGTTCAAATTTGACTCAAGAAAAATATCTCACGAATCCATATCCATATATATAATTAATAATACCTCCAAAATAACGCCGTATAAATCAGTTATAAAAAACTATATATTATAACTATATATATGTAGCTGGACGCAACAGGTTAGCAGTGCATAGAAAAAAAAAGGTGCTGCAAAGTTTTAACAAACCAAAGAAGAATTTGTAGTGATCTCTTACATCGTGTGAGACATATTATAGCTACTATGGTTGAGTTTTGGGTCATCATATTAAGTCTCTTCTCAGGACTTACCTTTTCTTGTCTTCTCATTTGGTATGTCGATAGAAACAAACAAGATTCCCCACACAATTTGCTCCATGGAAGCATGGGGTGGCCCTTTGCTGGGGAGACTCTTGGCTTCCTCAAGCCTCATACATCAAACTCCATGGGAAGCTTCTTACTAGAACATTGTTCTAGGTAACTTTATTATATATCAACCTCATACCATTTTCTATTTCCACCTTTTAATACCTAAGGTTTTTGTCATTAATTTGTTGATCAAAGCCAAATCTGTTAGATACAATGTAAAAGTATTTTTTTGAGAGTTTCCCTATTAAAAATAAAGAATATTTTTCAATAGAAAAACACTTAAAAACTTTATATATTCGGTAAAAGAAAACTCTTAAAAGTTCTTCTACACCTGTATCAAAAAATGTTCACAATCACGTAAGTATCCTCTATGAAGGGTTAGTTGCGGTTTTAAATATTACATATCTAAATAACTAAGATCTGGTTGTGATGCAGGTATGGCAAAGTTTTCAAGTCACATTTGTTTGGTTATCCCACCATAGTTTCATGTGACTTTGAGCTCAACACGTATGTTCTTCAGAATGAAGGGAAATTATTCCCCGTTGATTACCCCAAGGTGATGCATAACATCCTGGGGGATTACTCTTTGCTTATTGTCAAAGGAGACATTCACAGGAAGCTAAGAAACACCACTATCAATTTTGTCAGTGCAACAAAGTCCGAATCTAACTTCCTTCACTGGGTGGAAGTGCTTGCACTCTTGAGAATTAACTCATGGGATCCAATCTCTAAACAAGTTGCTTTCTATGGAGAAGCTAAAAAGGTACATATGATGCCATCAATTTGCTTTGCTTGTTTCAAATAGGTTCCTTCTACTCTTGTTTTATTTTAAAAGATTTTATTTACAAGACAAAATAACTAATTTTGTATAGGATAAAAAATATAATTAAATATATTTAATTTTTACGATGTTATATATAATATATAGTATATTTATTAAAATATCTTTAATCATATTTATTGTAATTTAGTGTGTTAGTTTCAGAGAGATTTTATAAACAAGGTAATAGTGTTTTACAAAATCAATAATCATTTTTTTCTATGTGAATCAGTTTACGATCAATGTTATGGTGAAGCACCTACTGAACATTAATCCTGAGGAGCCACTAGCCTCCAAGATTTTACGAAACTTTGAGAACTACATCAAGGGTTTTATTTCATTGCCAATAAATTTTCCAGGGACAGCATATTCCAAGGCCTTGAAGGTACTAATATGATCATATATAAAGTATTAACGAGTAATAATTATTCAAGTGCCAAAATTATGATTGTGATACCATAATTTGGTATTAATTTTTGGCTTCTATATATGTATGCAGGCTAGAATAAGACTCTCTGCCATAATCAAAGACATTATAACGGAGAGGCGTAAATGTAATAATGTGAAGGCTATGGAAGGAGGGGACCTCTTGAATGTGATTTTGTCAAAGCAGAACTTAAGTGATGAAGAGATGGTGAGTCTTGTGTTGGACCTCTTGTTTGGGGGTTATGAGACAACTGCAAAACTTCTGTCCTTGATTGCCTATTTCCTTGGTGGAGCCCCTAGAGCTTTAGAAACGTTAAGGGTACTTAACTTTAAACCTTTTTCAAGCAACAACACGTGTTTTCAAAGCATTATTATTCATTTGATTATGTTAATTACTATGAGCCTTGCAGGAAGAACACCAAGAGATAAGGAAAAGGAAAAAGGAGGGGGAACCACTTAACTGGGAAGATTATAACCAAATGCAGTTCACTCAAAATGTAGGAAACTATCCCCAATTATGTTGAGTCACCTTTTTCAAATTATGTTTTTTCCTGTGTTTCCTTAACAATGTGTAACAGGGGCGGAGGGGACTTGTAGGGACATGGTCCCCTTATTATTATTTTTTTTTAATTTATCAAAATTATCTGAAAAATAGTTTTGGCCTCTAAAATTTATAAAACAGAATTATAAGTTGATAGATGAAAATTATCATATTTACAAAAAAAAATTATAAAACATATAAAGTGATATGAACTTTCAATCTAATGGTTGAATTTACAAAATTCACATTTAATATAAAATTATTAAATATATAATACTTAGTAAAAGTACATCGATATTATTAAACCCTTATATATATATATATATAAATGAAATATCAAACGATTTTTAAGTCTTTAAAAATTTGTAAACTTACTCTATATATTAATAATTTTAAATTCAACAGTTATTAAAATTTGATGTAAAACATGAGTTATTGAATGGAATAAGTCTAGATAAACTTACTCATAAAATAAACGAATATCTCCTTATATATATATAAATATAACCACACTTCTTTTTAATAATGTGGTTAAAAATTATTTTCATTGTAAGAAAATATTATATTATATTAATATTTGAGTTTGTGCAATATATATACATATTTATTATATAAAATTAAAATTATAATAAATTATATATAAAATAAATACTATATTTAAATATATAAATTATATTTAAAATTTGTATAAACAGATATTTTTAACATATAATGTAAATTATATACTTTTATTTAGTAATAATTTGTTTTAAAATATTAATATTTAATTTATAAATAATTATAATAAATAAAAAATCAAATATAATAAGAAATTGATAGAATCTCTACCAACCTTTTTGTTGAAGAAAAATTTTAAAAAATATTTTACACAAAATAGTTTTTTACATTTAATATATATAAGATTGATTTAATAATATTGTTTAATATTTTTTTATTTATGATTTAAATTAAAAAAAGAATTATTTGTTCGTATATTTAGAAAGTATTGCATTAATGACAGCAAAATTCTTGGCAATATGTCTGGATATCATTAGGTGATGTACGAAGCCATGCGATGTGGTAATGTAGTCAAATTTTTGCACAGGAAAGCTGTTGAAACTGTCAAATTCAAAGGTATTCGCTATTTGATGTTTGTTAGACCTGGATGTTATACACTGTCTCCGATCAACTTATAAAATGTCATTCACTTTAAAACATTCCTTACTATATTTATTTTTTATTTAATAAAAACTATAATTCTTTCATATCAAGCTCATTCTTATAAACATATATAAAGTAATATTTTCATGCATTAATCCAATTAAATTTATTTTTATATATATTAAAGACTAAATTAAATGATAGTATTTCACAATATTTCACGTAGTGAAATACTAATATCATGGTAGTCAAATCAGACTGAATCAATCATTTCAATTGACCTATTAAAAAATTAATTTGATCGGTTCATTAACTTGAAAACAATGATAGATTTACATTTGGTGTTAATTGGTCAAGAATCAATCAAATTAATCCAAACTTAAGGTAAAAACTGAGTTGAACTAGTCTTGTTTAAAAAATATTTTTTAATATTTTTAAAGTTTTATTTTTAATATTAAAATATCTTATAATAAATAAAAATGTATTTGATAAAGATTATATATTAGAATAAACTATTTTATCAATTTTTTATAATTCTCTTATTAAGAATAATTTAGTCATTTATATGAATTATTGTTTTTATATCTTAATTATTTCAATTTTATTGTATATTAATTTGACATTTCTTTTTAGTTTATATGTAAATTTGTTATTGTTAATAAATATTGTTAAATTTTATGAAATTTAAAATTAAAATATTATTTTTAAAATTTTATATTTATTTTAAATATTAATAATTTATTATAATCTTTGTATTATAAAATTGTGATATTATATTTATTTAATATTATTTAGTTATTATTAATTTATTAATATTAATCTGATCCTAATTAAATTATTTATCTTTGAATCAATGTTTTAACCGATTTAATTACTGATATAATTTTAAAAATATTGACTAATATTATAAATAATGTTGACTTATTAAGTTTAAACTTAAATATTATATTTAAATTTTTTTGTTTACTTTGATTATTAAGAATTTATTATAATTTTTAATATTATAAAATCATGATATTAAATTCATTTAATATTATTTAATTATTATTATTAATAATTTATTAATATTAATTTGATCACAATTATTAACTATTTACCTAATGTCTTAATTGATTCATGACCAGTATAATTTTAAAAATATTAATTAATATTGACTTATTAAATTTAAACATAATACTATATTTAAACTTTTATGTTTACTTTGAATATTAAGAATTTATAGAAATGTTTAGTATTATAAAATCCTTATATTACATTTATTTAATATTATTTAATTACTATTAATAAAATTTTAATATTAGTTTGACCATAATTAAACTATTAATCTTTGAACTAAATCCCATTCTAATTTTAATAAATTAATATCAACTAATATTAAAGTTTTGTAAAATTAGAAACATAAGATGATTAAAATATAAAGTATGGTGTACATGCATCTATAGTCCAATAGCTAGTAGTACGTATTCCTCACTCTTACTTTCTCTCTTTAACATGTTTGTTCACTTTAGGAGAAGAAGTAAAAGTAAAAGTAAATCCTTTTAGCATGCATCTATTGTTAAACCGAAGCCTTTCTGACACATAATTAAAATTGTTGCAGATTATGTGATACCCGCAGGGTGGAAGGTTCTTCCTGTCTTGTCTTCTGGACATTTGGATCCCACTCTTTTTGAAAATCCTTGGGAGTTCGACCCCTTTCGGTGGAATGTATGTTTTTTTTGCTCATTAAATAAATAAACAAAATGCATCAATGTCTTTCTTTCGAATGCATTAGGCCAACCCTAGCTTCTATTTCTATGCTTTATTAATTCCTTCATGCAAAAATGTCAATGAACAAGAGTATCACCTTTCATCTATGTTACCCTACAATGCTGCACATATATATGTTTTTGTCTCTATTATTGGCAGAACAAATCGACAAGCAAGAAAGCTGCACCATTTGGAGGGGGTCCACGACTATGTCCAGGGGCTGATCTAGCAAAAGTGGAAACATCATTCTTTCTTCATCATCTTGTCCTTAATTATAGGTACTTTACTCATTGCACTACCCAAATCTACCAAACTCAGGTTATGACATGCATAGATTATGGTTAGCAACATGGCTATATCCATTAGTAATAAATTAACTTCGTGCACCCCACTTAGGGATCTATCATTGGCTTAGCTAGTTAGTTAATAATAAGTCTAGCTTGTTAAAAGGTAGCTATGTACTGTTTAATATTTGAGTGTTTTTTTTTTTTTTTTTTTTTTTTTACTTTTTCTCATCAATTTTTATTACTGTTATCAATACCTACTATAATATAGTTCTTTTCTTATATATGGGATTCGACACTAATTAATACGGAAATGATGTCAATCAAATACTATTCAATTTTTTATATCATATAAACATATTTATTTATATAATTTTAAAAGAAAAAAATAAAATACATGTATACATAAACTAATATAAAAGATTTATTCTATTAGTCTCTAAAATTTTATTACTTTAATTTATTATATAAACTAATTTTCACTTATAAAAAAAATTTATTTTAATACTATAATTACCTTTTTAATAAGATGATACAAATAGACATTGAATTAGTTTCTGTTAACGATATATTTACTTGTGAAAGGCTCAAGGTATTTCTTATGTAATCCTGTTTTAATATTTACAAGAGAACTGCACTACACTAAAATTAATTTTTTGTGGTAATTAATTTATTATTTAACGGTTATATAAATGGTCATTATTTTTTTTACCAGCATTTAAATAAGGCTGGTGTATCCAATATCGCTAATATTATTATTGACATTTATATAAAATGCCGGTAAAGATCTATTAAATTGTTAAAAAAACTTAGTTTTTTAGTGGCAATTCTAGTAGCCATTTTATAGACTGTTAAAAGTTATTTTTTTCAATTGTCTCTTTTACTTTAAATAATTTATTCTTATAATTTTCTTTTCTAAATTCATAACTTATATATATTTTTTTATCTCTACTCGATGTGAAATTTGTAAAACGAGAGCTTTGTAAGACGAGGGTTGTCTTTTATTTATATATTTTTTAATTGTCTTGTCTCTTAAAAAATGTGAGATTTTTAGTGGCTATTATATATTAGCCATTAATATTTTTATATATGGTAATAATTAAATTATTATCATTAAATAATTGTTGTTAATAACAAATTTTGTTGTAGTGCTGCTATCTGTAAATGTATGATTTGCTCGAATCATGTGAAAAGAATACGTATATTTTCATGTTTTAGAAAAAAAGTGATAGTTTGTATTTATGGAAAATAAAGGGGTGATAATTATAAAAATTTGGCCAATGATATGTATCAAATTAACCAATAAATATGACACTATATACACTACTTATAAATCACCAATAAGTTATTTGTGCGAGGATACTAAATTTGGTCCTTTTGAATGAGGTGTATATTCGAATTTTATAAATAAAAAAACATAATTAAAAGAAGAAATTGTACAAGAACATAATATTTTTTTTAAAAAAAAAGTACATAGTGTATATAACTACGTTCAATATATGCATATGATTTGTGATCTACGATATCAGAAATATAAGGGGTATCCCCCTTTTAATGAAAGAGCGAAAGGTGATTGTAGAAGAAAATATGCACAAATTTTTTGATGATGCCAAAGTGATTATAAAGCATTGAAGAAGAATCAAGGTTGAGCTAAAGCAAGTTGATGCAAGAACAAGATCTCAAGTGTTACATAGATAAGTCTTATCAACTTAGCTAAGAAT